TAAAATCTTCCCTCCATGAATAAACTTGATGAACAGCAGACTGTCATTGTGCTTGAAAACAGGAAGCAAGCACAAGAGCTTCTCCTTTAGGGAGATAAAGTCCTTCCTGCCTCTTCACTTACCCCAGCTGGTCTTCTATTTCTGAAAATGAAACAGCCTTTCTGCTTTGAGTGGAGTTCTCTCTTAAACAGAGCTAGATACACACACAAACACATGAAAGTTCTCTGTAAAAATCAGAACTTTTCAATAGAAAGGAAGCTGTCTGGTAATGTCAAAACCACCCTGTTTCAGCATTTTCAGAATTTTTTATTTCACAATTACTCTGTGAAAATTTTGTGTTAGAAAACCAAAGTGTAAACCAAGCATCTTATTTTTTCTTAAAATCAAAAGTTTGAATTTATCTGAAATCCTACTTTTATAAAAAATGGCAGAATCAAACTCAAAATGCACTTTGAAGCTACAGAATTCCCTTTGGAAAAGAAATGTCATGGTTCTGAATGATATTTAAATCACTATCTGTCATTTTTTTGCTCTACCCTTCATGGTGGAATCTTGAAACATACTATGCTAACAACATAATCTGCTCATTTTCTTCACCCAAGATGGAGATTACTGTTCAGAATGAAGGTTACAGAAAGAGTTATCAGTAAAAATAGCATTTTCAAATAGACACAGATATATTCTTCTGGCTGTCAGAAGCTGTTTTAATTCATGCCAACCAAAGGAGCCAAGTAGGAACAAGAGTTGCATGCTGAAAAGTATGACTTTACATGAAAAGTTAGCAAAATGTGTACCTATCTCATCTAGTGGAAGACCACTTTTGCACTACAGCAATCCTCTGTAAGCTATTTGCTTCAGCTTTGTGAGGCACTCTGGTATCGTGCTAGGAGACCTGATTATACCAGAGGGACTCTCAAAGACTGAATAGCACAAAAAATAGAAAGCATTTTAAACATAAGTCAGAAAAGCATTCTCAGTTCAAATGCTTTTTCAAATTTATGTCTCACTCCTCATGAGTTTTGGAAATCTGTGCTAGTAGGACTCTTCTGACACTGAGTTATACTGTCCTAGATGCAGTGATACTCTCTCTAATTCAGTTTTCTTTTTCAGACTCTACATTCTTACATGGACATACATGCATACATAAGCATATGCAAACTCACACACACAAAGACATTACTTACACAGATTTAGTCTAGATTTGTCTTCTCTCTGGTTATCTTCACAATTATCCTGCATTTTTCTACCCTTACATTAGGACCCCATCCATCACAGATGTGTTGGCAAAGTGTTTAAGCTTTCAGACTCAAATGTACATCTAAGCAAAGAAGAAAAGGAAAAAAACCCAACATATTGCTGATGCTTTAGCACTCATAAAGCTTGGCAAATTCAACATATTCAGGAAACTGCTATTCCTTGCTTATTGTAAGCAGACATAGAGAGAATCTTTGAGAGACAAAACCAGCAAAGCAATCTACAAGCTGTGTGAAAGAAGTCTTGAGAAGTCATCAAAACAAAACAAAACAAAACAAATAAGAAAAAGAAAAAAAGGAAAAAAGAAAGGAAAGGAAAAGAAGAGAAAATATGACATACCTCTTGAGAACTCTGAGATTTAGTTCAAGTTTAAAGATTTAGAGAGGCTTGCTGGGTAGGATTGGGTTGAAGTTCACTTTGTTTTGCAGAAAAGTGATGTTACTACTCCTTACACTGCTATTGCAGTCATTCTCACATTTTCTGTGTCATCTTTCACACCAGCTTGATCATGTGGTGTGTATGATCTTGGCTGGCTGCCAGAGGCCCATCCAGCTGCTCTCTCATCTTCCTCCTCAACAGGACAGGGGGAGAAAATAAGATGGAAAAGCTCATGGGTTGAAATAGAGACAGGGAGGTCACTTACCAATTACTATCAGGGGCAGAACAGACTCAATTTGCAAAAAATTAATTTAATTTATTGCCCATTAAAAATAGAGTTGGATGGTGAGAAACAAAGACAAAAACTAAAACACCTTCCCCCCACTCCCAGTTCTTCACAGGCTCCACTTCACTCCTTCATTCCTGACTCTTTGCTCATGTTGTCAGCTGAGGAAGTATCTCAGAAAGCTTCTAATTTCTAACCTAGCAGCCTGATTCGTATCTTAAATCATGCTGACTTCTGCTGAAAAATGTTGCCAAACGGCTGTTTGTGAAGCAATCTAGACTATAAATAAAGAAATTAATAAATGTGTCCAGAATCTGTGGGAACCGTTCAGGTCGGGGTGAAAATAGAGCATAGCTGACTTTAATTAATAAGATCCAAACTAGTTTTGCCTCATTATCAGTTACTTCGTAATTAGTGTAGAGTTCCTTTATTTCACTGCCTTTCCTGGTTTCATTTTGGATCCCAAAAGCTAAGAGAAGTTTCTGTTCTCATTAAGAAAAGCTGCATGAGCACTGCTTATTGTCCATGAGGATCCTCCTTCATGACTCAGCAGACTGTTGGCAGAGAAGAGAGTGAATTGCATACTGACAAATTTTTTGACGATATACTTTAGTAAATTGTTTTTCACAATTGTACTATTATTTTACTAGGAAGCAGCAGCTGTTATAACACTATTTTTTTCACTACTGTACAAAAATTGACAAATAAAACATTGATATTTTGCAAACTGTAATGACGTGTGATTCTATATAAGTTCAATTTAAATTATCTGCTAGTGGCCTCCAAGTTTTCTGTAGGGTTACAGCTTCTGTAGTCCCCTCAGCAACTGTAATTATATGGCACCTGAGCCTCTGGAAACAAAGATACGCATTCTAATGAGGCAAAGACAGAAATTTCCCAAAGAATGCCCTGAGCTCTGTAATGTCTTTCTTAAAAAAAACCCCAAAACCAAACAAAAAACAACCAAAAAACAACCAAGAACCCCCATTCTCAAAACAGGCTTTGGCATCCTTTTTTCATCAAAACAGTAAGCTAGGAAAAGAAAATTAATGTGCATTCGGTTGTTATGACCAGACTCAAACTTCTGTGTCAATCCCAAGACAGTACTTTGATGAGGAAGTTACAACAAAAAGTTTTTCTGATGAAGATATTTTGTTTCTTTTTTTTTTTTTGATGGGAGGGTGGGATGGACATATACATATCCCTTTATTCTTAGCTTCTAGAGGTTACAGTGGCACACAGTATATGAATATGATTCTATTGATGACCTTTACATTTTTTTATAGGCTAGCAAGTGATAGTGACTCTCCTTTCCCTGTTAGTCTTGGGGATTTAACTTACTTGCTTTTTTGAAAGCAGATAGAACTCATGGAACTTTACATTTCTCAAAAAACTGTCTTTATATTTTGTCCAGACAAGCTGTTCTGCTGGACAATGTTAATGATAAAATTGTCCTTAAATATTCACTTCTTCAGGATTGTCTTTAAAGCTTAGCTTCGCACATAGATGACCGCTAACTGTTTAACCAGGCAAAAAGTAATCTAGGTTGCTGGTGGCAAAAATCCTTTTCAGAGTTAGATGAATTGTGACAAAGTATTTTTACAACTTTGTTCTGCTGCTTTGTTGCAGAGAAAGAGATATTCCTTCTCTCTTGTCATGCTGTTCAGCTAACCTGAAATAGTGGGAATTGCTACTACGATGTAGATAAAACTATTATGTGTAAAGCAGTATTATGTACTATGAGAAACAGATGCATCTAACAGGACCTAATAATACCTTGTGCTTTCATAAATCTGTTTTGATTGCTCTGGATTTCTACTTTTCCCAATCCCTCATATACACTGAAGAGTGAGAATAGAGATGATTTACTTCAATTACATTAGTCACAAGTAAATTAATGTCTTGTAAGTTTATAGTCAAGACAGATACTTCACTGAAAGTTATCTGGGTGAACATCAATCTAGAGAGGCTGAAGGTGAAGTATAAAAGGAATAGGAAATGATATCACTTAACTGGACAGTACTCACTAGACCTTTTTCTTGCAAGGAAAGTGAGCTACATAAAAAATACCAAGCCAGAAACAGGGTAAAGAGCTTCTTCTTTGTCAGCCTTCTGTCCTTGGCAAGGAGTTAAGGACTTTTACAGTTATAGCTATTGGACTGCCTGCATTTATCCAGACATTTGACAGCTCTAGATTGTGCTACCGAAATGTATCCTGACATCTTGAAAATTGCTTAGAAATAAAAGCTTGTGAAGAACAGTTTTGTCCTTTTATATATCTCATAAGAGAGGCTTTACAGAAGCTTTCTTTTGCTTCTAACCCATAAACTACACCAAATGTATTGGCTCACAGTGCTCTTAATCCCATACAGCCTATATTCTCATTGTGATCACAGGACATGGGTAAGCCATTTTAATGCAAAATAGGTGAATGCTGAAAACACGTAGTTATCATTTAATAGCAATTATTTGCCAAATATGATCAAGATAGAAAAAAAAAACCCAAAACAACAACCCACATCAGAATTTCTTATTGCAAAACCAAGCTAGTCTTTTAAAAGCATCTTAAACACTGTTTAGGATGAGACTTCTTTTTTAATTCAGTCTGACTTCAGATATTTGGAGGTTATCATCTAAGCAGAAAATTAGTATGGGGAAATTTGCTTTACATTAATTTACTGATTAAGCCAAACTTAAGAATCATAATGGTACTTTTCACGCAGCAGTTACCTACCTTTTAAGTAGTTTCAGCTGAGGTTATGTTATAATCAGAGAATAATCTTCAAATCTGTTTGATCACCCATAAAACTTAATGCTGTGTTGCATTTCAAAGATGTGTCAGTCCTCATGTGTTTACTCATGTTTGCCTGAAGCATGAAATTTAAGTGGTAATAATTTTAGTTTTAGTCACGAGGAAGATGAGACTTTATTCTACTGTTTGCTTGGGTAGGATAACACTGGATTTGTCCACCAGATGCTGTTTGATTTTTTACTGAATTCAGTACTGAAACGACTGTATGTGATTTACAAGAAGCAGGTGCCTTCTTAAAATCTGCTGATTCCTTGTTTGGTACCCATTTAGGTACATCTGTTATTCAAGTGACAGCCACAGATGCTGATGATGCCAACTATGGAAACAGTGCCAAAGTGGTGTACAGCATCCTCCAGGGACAGCCATATTTCTCAGTGGATCCAGAAACAGGTTAGCAAGTCTTACTTTTTGCAATGACGGAGACAGGATGCAGGGATCAAGACCCTTACGATTTGCATTTAAATATTGTAATGGGCAAATGGCATCATATGACTTGACACAAGGCCGATACACTTCTTCTAAATGCAAACTGGAATCACAATAAAAGTATGGGTTTTTTTGTTAAAATAATATTATTGCAGAATAATGGCTTTACTTGGTATGAATAAGACTTCTGCAAGATGACAGTTACCTGTAGAGGTCAACAGTTCAGAAAGTGTGTAGAATATTGCAAAGGGTCCAAAGAGCCATGAAAGTATTAAAGCTTATTTTATACCAGTTTCTGGAAATTTAATCAGTTTGTCTTTAAGAAAAGAAAAAAGGAGCTGGACAATTTCAGACTATAAGGTAAAAAAAAAAAAAAAAAAAAATCCCCAAAGGTGAATTAATTATTTCTAAAAGTTTGTGATAGATCCTTGTTCATTGGCAATTTTTAACTCAAGATGTTTTTTGAAACTGTACTGTGATTCCAACTGCTATTAGAATTGAAGCAAAAAGCATTAATGCTTTTAAGTTATAAAGCATGAATGGAAGCCCTTTTCACTGTTATGCAGGAAATCAGATCAGAGACAGACACAAAGAGGAAAAGCTTGTCTGAACTTTGGATATCTATAAACCAAAATCAGGGTTCAAAAAAGAAAGAACACCCTTCCCCTGTCCAGATACCTAATCCTAATGCATGTAAGACTTAGCAGGCATTGCATTAGGTTGCTCCTGCATGTTATTAAAATTGTACTGGTTTGAGAAGCCACAAGTGCAATTGTGCCCAGAAAACCCGAAGTAGCTAATCCATTGAGCGTGCTCAAATGATGTCTAATTTCCTTTTGAAACAATTTATTTTTTAAATACAGTGAGGGCATTATATCAAAAGGATAAGTAAAAGTCACATGGCTACATTTTTAAAAGGAAGCATAACGATTTTGCCTAGGATTAAAGTGTTTGGGTTTTTTCCACCTTTTCCTGTCTCTTTCTTTTTTCTCTTTTCTCCAATCCCCTACTCAAAATATCTTTACCAGGAATGAGCAGGGAAACAAGACCGGTACCACACGGTTATTAACTGATGGCAGCAGGTGGTTAGGCAGGCAGATGGTTTGGGGGAGACCTGGACTCTAATCTTTGGTTCTGGGATTATCTTTCATTTTTATCCAATTTGCTTCTTAGTGTTACATATATTAACAAGTCTAGGTATGGTAATCAGAACCCGGTAAACCTGGATCAGGTGTAAATGCCATAACCACTAGACTATGGAGTTTTATTTCTTTGTTTCACTCTCTTTCTAGGAGTAGGAGTTTTCCAGGGTTGGGTTTGGGTTTTTTTTTTTTTTTTTTGCATAATAGAACAGCTTCCATATCAAGCCAAGCTTGTAATGAGAGCCGCCTTCTGAGAAAGGAAAGGCAGGGCTGTGAATCCTCCAAGCAAAAGAGGACACTGCATTTGAATTCTTTCACTTCACTCACCACTTTAATCTTGCAAAGCCACCACCCTTCTAAATAAATAAATAAAAAAGCTCTGCTGGGTTTTCTAAAGGAAAACCTGTGTGTGTTCACTAATTAAAAGGTCTTTTGGGCTGTGAATCACAAGAGGATTAAGCTCACTTCTCTGTTCAGGCTATGACACTTTTGGTTTTCTCACCTGAGGTCCTTACTCTTTTTGATTGCTGTACAAGAGTCTGAGATATTTAAATTACATTTATGAAATTCTTGAGATCAGACACCCAAAAAAGATTTTCCAATTGTACAGTCTTGTCCAATTCTTTTATTAACTATAGCCCCAGCTGACTTACAGTGGCCATCACTGGGCATTAAAATCTATGGTCTATTACAGTCCAAAAAGATGAATCCAGGACATGTTAGAATTCAGCCTTGTGCTGTAATATCAAAACCTCACCAGCGCTGGAGATGACATAAAGCATTAAAATAAGAACTGGGGATAGTAGCTGAAAGAATTCATTAATTCAACAAATATATTTATATTTTTGTCATTGAAAGAATAATTGAATTAGCACATCACAAACAATGAATAATGTCTCTGTTACATTTATTTCTCTTTTTTCTTAAAATCACATTAAATTAGCCATAGGTTGAAAGTCTTATTGCAGTATACCTTGTTTTGATTGCTGTGGATTAACATCTGCGCAGTATATCTTACATGAATACATTTAAAAACTCCAAGATTATAGCGGGAGTTGCTCCTTCTCCTTCACCTCTTTGTCTCTTCTTTTTCCTCTCTTCCCCAAGGCATAATCAAGACTGCTTTACCGGACATGAGTAGAGAAAACAGGGAACAGTATCAAGTGGTCATCCAGGCCAAAGACATGGGAGGCCAGATGGGAGGATTATCAGGGACCACCACCGTGAACATCACGCTGACTGATGTCAATGACAATCCACCTCGCTTCCCCCAGAGTATGGAGTTTTCCAAAGAACCTCTCTAAAAATCAGCCGTTTTACTCTCACCAACTGGGATCTTCTTTTTTTTCTCTCTTTTTTTTTTCTTTTTTCTTTTTAGTATAAATACTGTCCCACTGCTGTGTCTGCTTATGCTGCAGCATTATTAAGGAAAATAGGAATCTCTGCCTCCAATTTTTAATAGCAAAATATTTCTTGGAATTATAAACTTTCTTTCCTTACAGGAATGTGAGCTGTAACAATAACCTAGGCTAACTGAAGGGACTTGAAAGCCTTTAGAGGAATATAATCACAAAATCTAGGGTTCCGTTTTGGGACACACTTTTAGTTCCACATGTTTAGGCAAGCAAATATGTTAGCAAATTTTCTAATGTACCACCTTGCAGAGTCAGGTGGTATGGTCTGCTGGAAGTCTAAGCATTTGCTTTGGGTACTTGTAATATGCGTTCAGCTCTTGATGTTGAATGATTTTGATAATCTAGACCAGTTTGACACAATTAAGTTTTTAAAAATATCTCTGTAGGATAAAAAACCGGCAAACAACAGAATGGCTACACAATACAGAAAGCTTCACAGTAGCATTTTACAGGTACTTTCATCCTAGGCCACTGATTTAAATCCAATCCCAAATTGTTATAATCAGTGTCTGATAACTGTTTGATAGGCTACAAATAGAAGAAATTTACAGCCTCAGTTCAGTGCCTACTGGAAAAATGTCCACATTATAAAATTTGAATTGCTTGTTGGCACTGATTAGAGACCTGACTGGCGCTCTTTACAGATTCACCAAGAACTGAACAAACAGAGCTGACTCAGAAAATGCTCTCCTGGACTTGAAGAAACTTGAAAAGCACTTCAGTACCATGGCAATAAGTACACTCAGAATAGTATAAACGGGTCAACCTAGAACATACTTTAAAAAATATTATAAAACTCTGACAGTGTGGGAGAAAGGACTATTGAAATTGCATATAACTTTTTTATCTCTATTCATGATAATAGATTGCTTTTTAAAAAGAGAGGGGAGGGGAAGTACTGCAGTCCTCATAAATAAAATATAATTTGAAATCACATTCAGAACTTACTGGCTGAGAATCACCTTCACATGGCAATTTTTTGAATAGCAATTTTTAACCAACCATCTGTTTGACTTCAGGAGGGGATAGTGCTTAAACAGGTACAGTATAGTACGTCCCCCATAATATTTTGGTAAATAGGAATTCTTGAACCTAAATTAGAATGCAGTGTAGCACAATGCACTGTAAGTGTTGTTGCTGATTTAAGTTAAAATAAATTAAGTTAAATTAAAAAAGAAAAAAAAAAAGAATGAAGGATGCATAGGACTGCAAAATAACTTAGGGTTTTCAGTGTCCTTAGCATTTGTTCCTTATGATGCTCTTCTTTCCAGATTAGCTGAATACTATGGAAGTTCTTCTGGTTATATCAATAAACTTTGGGTTTGGTACTTAATTATAGAGAAATGTACACAATTTGATGCCTCATACAATATTCTCTGTAGCTTTCTGCTTTGAATATCACTGAAACACATTGGATGGGCTATAGAAGACCTGCTGATGGATCTATTAAATGTTGCAATTTTCATTTTTCTGATGACCCTTCCCTCCCATTTTCTTTCTCCTCAGAAGGGAGGTTTTCACCACTTCCTAGAAAATCAAACAGAGAGAGACATCTGGAGGTTTTGACTTCTTAGATAGTTATGAAGAGGGGAATATCTTCAAAGAACTATCTAGTTCTGGAAGGCTGCTCCTTTTAAAAACAGTTTCTCCCATTTTCTCTTAAGTGAGGTAACATTAAGTGAAAATGTGGCCCAAAGCAGAAGGTGAATTGCAAATGCATGCAACAGGAGTTAATGTCAGGGTATTGAAGAACTAAAGATTGATCTCTTAGAGGGACATATGAAAGGAAAACGGCAGAATGCACTGTGAAGTACTGGTTGTTCAAACCACTTAAGAAGGAAGAGTTTTTCTGTTTTGTTTTGTTTCCTGAAAGGAATCCTGGACAGTTAACAGACATAGGTGTAAATTGAATTTAAATGGCACCACAATGAAAATCTTACACATTTTGAATTCAATTGTACTTTAAACGAAATTAGCCATCTTGCATGCTGAAAATGTGTAGCACTCACCACAAAAATAAGGAATGCTTTCAGATGCAAAAGCACTCAAGGGAATTATTTATTCTGGAAGAAGTCATAAGTAGCATGATTAAAACTGTTCTTACAGTATTTCTCGCTCACCTGCCAACCCTTGAATTTGAGCAAGCTTTCAAACTTATGGTTTAGCTGCCAGGAATCCTAACTTTCATCCCATTTTCAGCCTCGTTTAAGGGAATAATATGCATTTTAGTCTGTGTGGATTGCTGCCAAACAGTCTACTGCTGATTTTTCACTTACAACCTTGAGTTTGTAACAGCAAATGCAATTTAGCATCAAGTATTAGCTTCCATTTTGTTACACATCTATATAAATATAAGGTATTTACAGTGACAGTCTTTTGTACTTAGTCTGTACAAATGGGGTTAGAAACTCATTCAGCCCTCAGATGTTTGGTATATTCCTTGTACTTAAGAGGAACATTCAGGACCCTTTAAGTGTCTCAGAAGAAAGCAAAGGACATGTAAGTGTAGGAAATAAGCTAGTTGCAAGAAAGATAATTGACTGTACTTCACTACAAGTCAATACAATGTGTAAGTTCTTATTGGACCCTTCAAATAAGAATCATGCATTTTATCAGGTGCTAATTTTGTCAGACTCTTAGGGTATTTTTCCAATGCTATTACTTCACTCAGTAAATTAATATTAATTTACATGAGAAAACAGGTCAAAAGGAACATCAGCATCTAGAATGTCACATGAAAAATGTTGATTATATCAGATTTTTTTATTAAATTTTCTTGGTAGAAAATAACTGAAAATACTGATTTAGAAACATTTGTGTCTTGCTCGTGACAAAAGGTCTTAATTTGGTTCTGACTGGTCAAGAAAACCATCTGATTAATACTTTTTCTGCAATAGCATGTGTTTACAATTAGATTTTTATTGCAAATGTTGTTAAAAAAACTATATAAATTCACTCTTCATAAACATAGACAAAATTAAAATGTTTGTTTAATCAGAATTCTTTCTAGTAAACCCTTATTATAAAAAGATTAAATGAAACCAACCATTGAAAGAGCACAAAAAGTATGTGCAGAGTAAATTAAAGAAAATCTGAATGTATCTGCATTTCAATTAAATATAGCAATTAACATGAACATGTATCCAAGTTCTCTTCTCCATGAGTCTTTAGTATGTATTACCAGTAAAGGATGAATGAATTACTTTCACACAGAACACCCACAAATTTTGAATACATTTTTCAAAAGAATAATAATAATAAAAAAGCCTACTTTAATTTAGTCTTTTTCCAAAATACATTCCTGTTTCTACAACTCTTGTGTCTTGAAAAAACAAAACAAAATCCCCTACTACTTCTAAATATATCCAGGAATATTTATAAAAAACTGTGAGAAAAAAAAATATATAAATATTGTTAAATAATCAAGGTTAGATCTGGTGCCTTGTTGTTGAGCTTCTCTGTTTCTTATAGTTGGAAAAATAAAAAAAAAAGAAAAAATCATTGAAAGCACAGTAATAAATGGCTTTGAAGAATCGCTTGAAATTTTTGTGACAGTTTGTCAATCAACTCCAAAACCTCTTCTAAAGTTTAGTATGATGACTAACAGCATTCTTCTTAAAGTATTTCAAACCTCAAGTTACTTTAAAAATCCAGGTGAAACTGAAGATGTTTATTACTCAGAAGAACAAAGCTTCTTAAAATAATAAATGCTTGATTTCACTCTTCCAGGCGCCTACCAGTTCAGCTCTCCTGAGTCTGCACCACCTGGGACTCCTCTTGGCAGAATTAAAGCCAATGACCCTGATGTGGGTGAAAATGCAGAGATTGAGTATAGCATCTCCAATGGGGATGGATCAGACATGTTTGATATCGTCACTGACAAGAACACCCAGGAAGGGATTATAACTGTCAAAAAGGTTTATTTTTTCTCCCTCTCTTTTATATATACTTAGCTCTCCAGGTGTTAAGGTTACTTTTCTTTTTTCCAGGGGAAGGGAGGGTAGATCTCACAAGGGGTCAGGCTGACAAGGAGTTGTTGTATTAGTTTTGTTCTTCTCTTTCTTCAGCAGATATCTGTTATTTTCAAGTCTCAAGGGAAATTTACTGGCATGTCACTTCACATAAAACAATATTTCAGTGGCTGCTGTCTGTTCAATATATATACTCTCACACACAGTACTTTTGAATTAGGGCTGTGAAAACCTGGAGGGGTTCAGTTCACAGGAGGGTTTGTCAGCTGAATGCTGCAGTAAGGCTCACAAGGGTTGGAGGCTCACTGAAGTTTGATGAACTTGCACCTCCAAGGCTAAACTGTCCCCCTCTAATCTGTCCAATACTCAGGTTTCTCCAGTACCTAAAATTTGTCTTGGTTTAAGTCCATCCTTGGTGAAACTTAAGTTGTTACATATTATGCCAATGTAATTCTAAAGAGCAAAGACATGGTCAGAAATTTAATTCAAAATACCATCTCTGACACAGTTATTGGTTGCTTTTTAGTGTTCAGACTGTTAAATTCTGCATACTATTTTCAGTTTTATTCTTACTGAAACTATCAATGACAATTAATTGATATCCACATATACATATAATATAAAGCTATACAGATATATTTGGAAACATACATATATTTATGTATGTACAGGCATGTATATGTGTGTCCATATGTATGCATGTATATATACAGATGCATATAGAGATATGCATAATATAAATGCCACATAGATTGGAAATCAGACTTCATAGTTTTTCTTTTCACTCTGGAACATATAGGCCAGGAACAGGTCTGGGTTGTTCCTGATACAACTTAGGCAAGGGTAGATGGCAATGGGGGAGGAGCAAAGAAAAAGGAAAGAGGACGGAGAGCATTTAAGGGCTGGAATAATTGTTCTTGTTCCTACCAATGAGATGAGACAAGTAAGATCTTTAGTAACTCCTACTTGTGGATTGAGTCCAACTTCCCTGTTTATTTGTCTTCCTATTTTTTTATAGATTGACCCCTCCTGGTTTTCCAGGAATTTGAACAAGTAGTAGGCAGAGGGATCATAATTGTCTTGCTGACCTATAATGCTCCTTATTTTTCTTATACCTAGAACAAGCCCTAATATACTCCATCTTCTCCAAGATACATTATATTTTAGAGCTTTTGCTCCTGAAAATGCCTATACTTCAGCACTATAAAACTGACTCACATTTCTTGTAAAGTGACACAATTTTCTTTGTTATTATTATTATTATTTGCTCCGCAGCATCTGGATTTTGAAAACAAGATGTTATACACCTTAAGAGTGGAAGCAACAAACACTCATCCTGATCCTCGTTTTCTTCAGCTGGGGCCATTCAAAGACACAGCTTTGGTCAAAATTTCTGTGGAAGACATAGATGAACCTCCAGTGTTCAGCAGACCCTGGTATTTAATAGAGGTAGATGAAGATGCCAAGGAAGGAAGCATTATTGGGCAGGTTGTAGCCCAAGATCCAGATATAACAAAGAACACAATAAAGTAAGACATTACACGGTATAAAATGCTTTAGATGTGCGTCAAGTCTCATGCACAAAGTGTGATGAGAGTGTAATGTGGTAGGGGGCTACTTGAGTAATTAAGCCCCTAGGGAGTACTGAAAAGCGTCAAGCAGAGAAATATTTATGGGAGCCTGTGAGGGCAAACACACTTAAGAGTGCACGCCATGCTTCTGAAGAACAGCCTATAGGCACCAGTTAAAAATAAAGGAGAACATTTAACTCGCATCATGTTCTAGTACTTTCACCAAACTGTTCATAACACTATGCTTTTGTACCATGTTTGAAAAGGCACATTTATGTAGAATACTCAAAATAGTGTATTTCTATGCTGGTTGATAGCAGTCAGCCTCCTGCACCTTTATAATCCTCTAGACGTAACGTCTACCATGTTCTATAGTTTAACTATTTAATGATCACATTATATTAAATAAGAAATGACTGTGAGAAAGAGGTAAAAGTTCAGTGCTGTGAAATTGCTGTAATTGTTAGCCATCTGCTATTATTATCTACAGTGACAAATACAGTTCTGAAATTTGTGTATTTACTATAAACTCATAAGGAAATGTGATTTCTGCATTTCTGAACAAGCTTGTTATGTCCTGCAGCAGTACAGTTCGGGGTAGGAGGCGTGACAGGCGGAAGACAATAAAATATTTTTAAGTAATCTATGTATAAAATCTCAATTTAATCTGATAGTGAGTGGTAACTACTAGACTAATTAAAAAACACCTGTAAAAGAAGTTTTTCCTTGCTGGTAAAGAACAAAGCAAAAACAAGTGTCATAAAATAAGATTTTAAGAACTTTCATCTTAAACAACAACTAATGCAAAGATTTTTCTGATGGCCCTTGTGACATCTCAAAAATACCTTGTTGTAAATTGATACTTAATTATATCTGCAATGTTTGTCCTTTGATGACTGAGTTTTCCAAGAAACAATTAATTTGCAAATTATTCTCTAAGAATGTCCACTCTTAGTTGTTATTCAAGCATTCACTTTATAAGGTAAAATGTAATTTCAAATATCAGTATGACAAACTGCCTGCATAAATAGTTGGCTTTTCATCCCACTAGTCCTAAAAAATTCTCAGTATTTTTAACATGCTGCACTCCTCAGGCAGCTACATGAAAGCTTAGATTAACTGTAAAGAAAACATTCTTGATTAACCACAGTTAAAATTAGAAAACTTTTAGAGGTGGCTGTGAGCTAAACCTGAGACTGTAACAGGAGGCAGTTATTTTCAGTTATACTGTATCTTGACAGATATTCTGTGGATCGACACACTGACCTTGACAGAATATTCAACATCTATTCAGGAAATGGATCCTTATTCATCTCAAAGCCACTTGACCGGGAAGAAACTCCCTGGCACAACATCACTGTCATAGCAACTGAAATCAGTAAGTTGGAATCATTTGTCTCGGACGAACATTAGAACTGAGAAAAGACTGAAGTTCTACAGTATCTATGATTTATTTTGTTTAATTAGTTTTGCCCTTATTCAGATATTATCAATAGAAAGAGCATCTTTAAATGCACATCTAAAAGTTTATTATACTACTTTAGGGTTATCTTTGCCCATTTATCAAAAGATAATTTGGAATTCTCAGGCTCAACGAAACCCCGTACAGTATACATTAGGCAAGTTAACTGGTTCCCTCAAAATTCCAAGCAAATAATGTGGTGCAGGTGTGATGCACTGGCTTTATCCTAAGCTAAGTTATAGGGAAAATTGTTGGGAAAAAAGATGTCCATGACAGACAAATGACACATTGTCAGAATGACCACTGTAAACAGGGGAAGAAATTATGCTTTACCTCAACTGCTTTACCTATCTCAGGAAATGGCTTCATTTGAAGCCAAGACTAAAGGAAATTCTTTCCCCTCCACATCCGAAGCAAATCCTGGCCCTAACGCTTTTACCTGGATTCTTTACTATTCTGTTGGACCCTTTTAGATCTGGATGTATCTTGCCTGCCTTTTCTTTCCACCTGACAGTCATCAGGAGGGAAACACAGACACTGATTTTAGGGAACAACTTTTCTCCCTTCCTTCATTCTTCCTATAGATTGCCCAGGATGCTATGTGCTTAACAGTCTGGGAGTTGGGTAATATGGAGAGATTAATTATATCTGCTTTTTCAGAAAAACTGATACCTTTTCCTCATAAATGTTTTTTCGTTGTTTGGTCAAATATGGTCTCCATTTTAAATATGCATACTGACAGATTCATCTGCAGCGATAGCTTGGCCTTGGAGGTCAAGTTTGTGAAGACCAGTTTATGATAATATCTACATATCTCCTTTTTTTTGTTTTGTTTTGTTTTGGTTTTTTTACATTTTGGATAGCAAGTACAACTTTGGTTTGGTGGGGTTTTTTTGTGTGGTGGTGTTGACTGACACTGTTTGCTTTGCTGGCTTGAACAAGTAATGTTCTTGACAGCTTGACCTCAAGAAACAGCTTTTGCAATGAATCATTTACTGCACTAATGTATGGAATACAAATCAATAATAAGTCAGTGACCCGTTTTTAATGCAAATCAATTTAAGTATATGTTGTATTATTTCAAAATATATATATTATAATAGAACAATTTGTTTCAAATATAAATAGGGCTTCTATGCATATGACATGCATGTCAGTAGAAAATGAAATACAATTGCTTTAATATGATCAAGATTAATGAAAATTTCTAATGTCTGTTAGAAAAAAAAAACACATTAGATAATTTTAGGTCTTTTCATAGACGTAGACTGTAGATCTTTGCATTGTAATATAAATAACGTTTTTTTTTTCAGATAATCCTAAACAAAGTAGCCAGATACCTGTCTTCATCCGGATTTTAGACATAAATGATCATGCACCAGAATTTGCGAAATACTATGAAACATTTGTTTGTGAAAATGCAAAAGCAGGACAGGTAAAGAAATACTTATGTTACTGAAGAACTTGTGATGAAACTATACTGGAATATTATCAGGAAGACTTCAAGGTATCTTAATTTGAACAACTGCAAACCAACCCAGTCTCTTTATTCCCTACCTTCTACAGAAACTACTGGATGATTCAAAAAAGGTTTGAGGGGATAAAAGATGCAGGATTTTGCCATAGCATAATGACATAGCATGTAATATAAAATCGTACTTTAAGGTGTTTTTTCATTCCTAATATCAGAAGATATTTTTCAGAACTAGTTATGTGTATGCTACAAAACCCTTTATACTGGTTGATAATTCCATTTCTCTCTGGACTTTTTTTAAAGCCTTAGTTAATGTAGCCACACCTTCAAGTACACAAAGCAGCAAAATCTTCAGTAAAGGAAATGTGAAAAATAAACTTTCACAAAAATAAAAGATAATGCAGCTGTTTCTATTGTAAGTTAAACTTCAATTTAGATTTTAGTTGAATTTGGTCAAGGCTCATGTATATCCCTTTCTGAACTATCTATATCTCTGCAATTTCTGTAATAATCTAAAAAGACAATAACAAGATTTGTAGAGAAAATAAAGTGATAACTGGGAACTGAGAAAGGAGGCAGACCAACAGAACTCAGAGCCAGGATATTATAAAAATCTTTTAATATTAGTGCTACTACAACTGACAACTCTTTATGTTAATGCCAATCAGCCTTTCAGTTTTAATTCCTGTGAAGAAGGATGTATGTTTGCTGATTTTTAATTCTGAAAGTATTTACCAAAGAAGTGGATTTAATAGCAGATTGCATACCTCAAGATTTTCTTTCGAGCATAGGCCTAAGTCCTTGCATGACTGTCTTCTCTAGACTGATGTATTTTTGACTGGAAGAAAAAGGTGGAGGTCATTATTTTTCTCTGGCACAAATCTGAGCGGGTTCCTGCTCTAGCAGAGAGAGGCCAGGACAGAGCCCTAAACTCAGCTTAGGTCTGTCCTTGTGTCTCACTAGTTTTATGCTGACATCATCAAAGCTGGATGGCTTCATGGAAAGTATGTGGAAAGGATCAGAATGTAGGATATTTTCTTTAGTCTTAGAGCACAGTGACCATACAACATTCAGTCTTTAAAGGGCTAGGGGATATGTATACATATCGGGAACCATGCTCATGTTTTACCTTGGTCTGTGCCTAGTGTTT